ATGCTGTGGTGGGACCTCAAAAGAGCTGTGCATAAACAAATGCCCACAAACCTCAATGAACGGAAGCAATGTTGTAAAGAAGAGTAGGCCAACATTCCTCCACAACAATGTGAGAGACAGATGAAGTCATACAGAAAATGTTTATTTCAAGTTATTGCTGCTAAAGGTGGTTCTACAAGCTATTCAATCATAAGGTATACTTAGTTTTTCACACATGGCTTCTCCATTTTGGCTTTCTTTTTGTAAAACAAATGATGACATGGTGTAATATGTCATGTGTTGTTGTTCATCTGAGGTTGTAGTTACAGTACCTACTTTTGGGAACTGCTACTGTAACTACAACCTCAGATGAACAACAACACATGACATAATATGTCATGTGTTGTTGTTCATCTGAGGTTGTAGTTACCTACTTTTGAGAACTGCTAAGGACCAGATAATTGTTATTACGTCTTGATACATAAAACCATAGAACTCAAAGAGGGTGTACTTTCTTTTTCACATGACTACAGTGTTGAGGCACTGGATATGCATATGTATTATAGAATCATAAAATGTATGAGTTGGAAGAAACCTAATAATGATATAGCTTATGATCAGGAAACAGTCAGGATGGCTGAAGGAAGCACGATTTGCTTTCTGGAAGGAAGTTTGCAATTTTTCCTGCTGGAATGGAGAGAAGGCCAAGGAAAGGCTACATAAGATTCTGATCAAGCAGCTCAATCATGAAACAAGCACTGAACAGACCTCCAAGACTTGGAATCACCTTTTCATCCATTGTGATGCACATGAAATGCCCACCTCCTTCTCTGGCTCAACAGGAGCCATTTTTTCCTGTCCTACCTACTTCCCTGACAAACATATAGAGATAAATACATACATACAATTTAAAACACATAACCAAAAGTCAAGGAAGAACGCCAACAACCCAGGACACATTCACCCAATGACAAACACCAGATAAGCAGGAAACAGTACCAGAAAACCAATCAGGAAAGAAACAAGGAACCAAGGAACTATTGAGGAAGAAAACCACACCCCAACCAACAAGGCTAGCTACTAACAGAAACAACCAGCAAACTTCACTCTCCCATGAACTGATGATGTTACCTCACCCTAGCACTGAAACATCTGCAGGAAAACAATAAAGTTCAGAGAACACCAAGAACCCAACAATTCAACCCTGAGCTACATACTGTATATCTTCTACTGCTGAAGGCAGATTGACAACCCAGTCCCCACCAGATGTGTACTCCAGTAAGTCCCAA